AAGCCAGGACTAGTCTCCACGGCATGGCCCATGACGCAGCCAGCCAGCCCCGACGCGCACCTGGTCCACGTCGGGATGAAGGTGTGCTGCCAACCTCGCATGTCTTTTCCATGCTAACTCCCTCTCCAGAGGCCCTACCGCCTGCTCACTTCCTTGACTGTCCCTGCAGGAATGAAGCCAAGTAAGAAGCCCAAGCCAGACACCGAGGCTCCCGCCGCCGCACCCACCCAGGGCCCAGAAGTCCCACTTGACGCCAGCACTACCACCAACAACACTCCCAGCGGTAGTCGAGTCTTGCCAGATGCCTCCTCAGACAAGTCTGTAGCGGAATCGACGCCTTCGGTTGGCACCACAACGCCGACAGCCTCTGGGACACAAACACCCCGAGCCAAGAGGTGGCTTTCAGGCTCAGGCAGCTGGCGATCCAAGGCGCCCGCCATAGTCAAAACCGCAAAGGAGAGCATCGGCGTTAGCGGGGGTGCGACAGGCGAACTGCCCGACGAGGAAGCGAAGAAGCCAAGAGACGAGTCTCCCAAGAAGTTCCTCACCAAGCGGAAGTCGAGCAAGGGCGACGCCATACCCGCCTCCATCACCGAGGTCAACGTATCCTCAGACGGCCCCCTAGACGAGCCGCCCAAGCCGAAGCCAAACGACGTCGAAGAGACACCAGCGCCCCAAGTCAACGAACCGCCGTTACCCCCCGAACCGCCCAAGTCACAAGTGGACGCGGCTGCTAGCACATGGGGTTGGAGAAGCTGGTGGTCGCGGCCGGACGGCTATGACCCGGGCAAGGCTAGAAGTGAGGCACACTCAAGTGTTGAAGAAGCCTCCACTACGCCGCTACCTGGACCGACCCCCTCAGAAGAGCCAGATGCGCAAACGAAGGGTCTAGACGCGGGTGCCATCCCGTCTAAGCCCGACCAAGTGGTAGAGACAGAGAATAAGGATGTGTCAACAGAAGCAGTTCCGCTTTCAGACACTGAGACAAAGGCTGCGCCATCCGCAGCTGCTAAAGTTCTGGCAAGAGCATCTGGTTCTTGGTTCTGGACATGGAGTAGCGCGCAGAACGCGCAAGCGAACCCTCCTCCCGTCGATCCTCCGACTGATGATAGTATTACGCCCAAAGTGGATGCTGTGCCTGAATCTCTGCCAGAAGCACCTGCTGAGACCGAGACCCCAGCCCCGCAAGAGAGCCCCGCAACCCCAGCCCCAGCTACACCTCCCGAGACTGCTCAGAAGAATACTACAGGGTCGTCAAAAACTTCTGCATGGGCGTTCTGGTATAGGGGCAAACCGGGAGAAGAAAAGAAGCCGGGCGAGGCTGGGCCACAGAAGCATGTGGGCGAGGTGGCAGTGTTCGATACTCCTTCGCAATCGAACCCTGAAGCGGCGCAATTCAACGAGCAGGAACAGCCCAAGTCAGATGCGGAGACACCCAAGGAACCACAACAGCCACCGAAGGACGAACCAGTTCCGAAGAAATCCTTTGCCTCGTTACGGGGACGACGAAAGCCCAAGACTCCTGCCAAAGACACGCCAGCCGACACCCCTACGTCGAGTAAGACTGCCACACCGACGAGAGCCTCACCAGTGCTCGAGCCGACGAAGCCTGAAACAGCATCTACTGCTAAACAAGCATCGAAGCAGTTGGCCAAGGCCAAGCAAGGTCCGCCAAACCTCTTGCTACCTGAGTTTAGAACTACCTACCAAATGGTCCAGCAACCGAACTTCTGGAAGCAAATCCGTCAATACTTTCTTGGAGGCGAACCTGCGGCTCCTCACCTGCACATCAACCCAGCACCACCGAGGATCAAAAAGGCCGTAGCGATTGGTGTACATGGCTTCTTTCCTGCGCCCATTATACAAAAGGTGCTAGGGCAGCCGACAGGCACATCAATACGCTTTGCAAATGCCGCAGCCGCAGCAATCAAGGACTGGTCTGAAGCGCGAGGGTACAGTCCAGAGATCGAGCAGATAGCGTTAGAAGGCGAGGGATTCATTGCTGAGCGGGTCAACTCCCTATGGAAGCTCTTGCTCAACTGGATTGACCATCTCAAGCAAGCTGACTTCATCTTGGTCGCTTGCCACTCGCAGGGTGTACCAGTAGCTATGATGTTGGTTGCGAAGCTCATACAGTTTGGCTGTGTCAACGCGACGAGGATCGGAGTATGCGCTATGGCTGGCGTAAACATGGGTCCGTTCATTGAGTACAAGACAAAGTACTTCGGTCCTACAGCTGCTGAATTGTTCGAGTTCTCGAATCCCAAAAGTCTGGTCAGCCAGATGTATCTTGCCGCTCTAGACGAAGTCCTCCGGTTCGGTGTACGGATATTGTACGTCGGTAGCATCGACGACCAGCTTGTCTCTCTTGAGGTGAGCCTATTTCTTTTCTATTCTAGCTCTGCGGTTTGCTAACTTACGCCAGTCGTCAACCTTCTCAACGCTTTCGCACCCTTACATCTACCGAGCCGTCTTCGTTGATGGTCGCATTCATGCACCAGACTTTCTCACCCATCTCGTTGGCTTCGCATTGAAACTGCGCAACCTAGGCCTTCCTGATCACGGTCTGATCCGCGAACTGTCGCCCGCCTTAGCAGGCTCCTTATATGGCGGTGAAGGTCACTCTCGTGTCTACGAAGACCCTGCCATCTACTCCCTTGCTGTACAGCATGCTCTCGAAACAACGTCTCTCCCTATACCAACGACTAAAGAGCGACCAAGCACGGCCGGCAGTTTCCAGGGCATCAACATCCCCGTCGTTGGTGAGAAGCTCGCGAATAACAATAAAAAAGAAGACTTGTACAAGCTTCGTGTGAAGGACTATGAGCCCTCTGCTACCACGACAAACCCGAATCCTTTCTTCCTGCCATGGGCAATGAGAGGTTTACTAGAAGAGGATTTTGTCAAGAAGGAACTTGGAGACGAGGTCGAGAAATTACTCGGTATGTTCGAGGCATGGAAGCCGACCGGAAAACAGCTCAAAGACGTCAAGTTCAGACTCGAGGGTGTAAGGAGTAAGCTATGATAACTGGATGTATCAGCGCATCGTGTAATTGTATGATTATAGGGGCGTTCTTCTTTTTGGCATGGTTAGGCGTTTGGGAGGCGCTATATTTCTAGCCGGAAGATACCATGCATCGAGAGTAGAACACATAGCGCATTGTCTTGATTGGATCGATTTGTAAATGTACATATCATGTGACCGAGGCCTCCATTCTCTGCTCGTAGACGCATAGTGATCCTTATAGTAGTGCTCGGCAACTAGTACATTAATCCAATCCGCCCGTAAAATGCACATATTTGTACATGAAGATGTTCATCTCTTACCACTTAGACGCTTTTAATGCTTAATGTTTAGTTGTCGTCGTAGAAGATCTCCTTGTACCGATGCGTAGCATCTACTACGGCATTTGCTGCGTTGAAGTCTACGTTGCATTAGCGTGATGCTCGCTTTTCCTCTCAAAGGAGTATTTCCTCCACTAAGTAGAGAAGGAGACGAAAACACGCATGTCGCCTTCAGAAACTGACAGGGTTTGAGGCTGGTATGTGACAGTTACCGATTTTGTGCGCAAGGCACGGCACGGGTATAAGAGGGAGGTTGGTGAAGAGCACGTACCGATATTTGTGCCAAAATCGGTTACAGCTTGTACCTTGACTTGCAGATTCTGATCTACCTTGCCGATAATCTCTACTGCATGACCGACGGCGAGATGTGAGTCCTGGTTCATCTTAGTCAGCTCATACTCCTGATCAAGTTCCTATACTCTTTTCCTCAAGTGCTTGAACGACATGTAAACGCAGACGAAAATGCTTACCCTGTTCAGAACAACGTCAACATTACCTCCTGCATCAATAACTGCTGTCTCACCACGCAGCTGCGTGACCTTTCCCAATATGCGCACGATGCGGTGTTGGAAGTTTGCAAGGTGCGGGGCGAGGATGCGGGGTGTTTGTGGGTGGTCCATTGTGAGTGAGCTTCGTGTGAAGATCTTTCGCGGCAAGACTCGGCGCGTTTGGGTATGAGGTGATGTGTTGTAGATTTGCTGAGTGTTTGCTTGTTGACGACTTGAATATAGTGCTTTGTGTAGCAGTTGAGTGGTTGGATTGGGGAAGTGGAGATGGAGGAAGGTTTGACGCGTCGCGTGGCGTTAGCGTGGTGCGCTAACACGTGACTGTGCTTAACTCGCTACTTTGTTGGCTGATAGTTGAGACAAGCCATTCAAGTTTGAACCTCCCAGTGGGCAAACGCTATATATACTCAAATATACAACGTCAGGATACTACGTTACCTAGCTATCTCTTCATTATCATCCTGCTAGTGCCAGCGTGTTTGGTAAGCACCACCTTAGCGGCGCCCTTGGGCATATAAACTCCCTCTGTTGTCGCCAAACTTCCTGTTCTTCTCCCCAAACGCGGTGGTGAACCTAAAAGTTCCCTACCAAAAAATGAGATCAAATTGTTTGATGCCCGCCTGTCCAAAATTGCCGATTCTTCACATCATGTTGGCGGTGTTTGAGAGGAGACTTGACATACATGAAGAATAGCAAGGCATGTTTTAGATATGTGTAGGCGAGGTTTCTGGAGGTATGCGTTCTGGAGTATGTAGTAACATGACCCGAAAGCAGGGCTTTTCGAGGTCATGATAGCGTTCAGGTCGAGTCTTTCGAGGGTGATGACCATGAAGAAGACATTTGAATGGCTTCGATGAAATTCGTGCACCGACAATGCCATGGATGACTTGGAAGCATATACATAGGCACGGGCTGCTAGTAGATTCTTGACGAAATCTATCAAGGCTTTGAACATGTCTCGGCTTGTTGGTTCTCGCCACCACTACCTATGATGGTGAACTTGGCGACAATGGTGGTAGTCCGGTAATTGCATAAATCCTTCGTCGAAACCCTTTTACAAACCTTGAGGTCCAAATCGCAATGGTCACAGGGGCTTTACGATACCACGTAGGCTTCACGGCCCTGCATTAGGACAATCTTAATATTCGTTCACTTCTTAATCTTCTTCAATAGCTCCCGCATCTTCGCCAACAAGTCCGGGATTCTGAATGGCTTCCCAACAACATCATCCATACCTGCATCTCTTGCATTGTCTATCTGCCCACCTCTTATATTCGCAGTAACCGCTATAATCGGAATATGCTTCGACACCTCTTTCCGTTGCTCCATCTGTCGTATCTTTCTGCAACATGTCAGGCCATCCATCTCTGGCATCTCGCAATCTATGAGAATGATGTCAAGTGGTATCCCATCGGTAACGCAGAATCTTGTTTTGACAAGATGCTTCAACGCCCAGACGCCGTTGTCGGCGGTGCTGGTAACGCAGCCTGCTTTCATGAGTTGTTTGACTAGCACCTTTTGGTTCACTAGATTATCTTCAACGACGAGGACATGAAGCTGGTCATCTTTAGCTTCGTCCATTTTTTCATTGATGGACTGTGGTATATCCATGTCGACAGAATATCCATCTTTTCCTGCTGCAGTCGCAGCGGAGATCAGGGATATAGTTGCTTTTTTTATTTCCCGTGCCGTCACCGCGTGTTCGATTTCGAGGGCGTGTTTAAATGTGTCACGCGATAGAGTTGGTTTCTGGGCAATCATGCGCTTGCACTTCAAATAGAATCCGAAGGTACTGCCGACACCAGCTTTAGAAGAAACACCGATCTGACCTCCGTGAAGTTCAGCAAGTTGGCGCGAGATAAAGAGTCCGAGGCCACTACCGCCGTATCGCATGTGTGTTCGAGGAGACTAAGTGTTAGATTTAGCATTAGTGCGTAGTTCATTTGTAGCTTGTTCATTGGATTGACCCACAGCTTGGGCAAATTTCTCGAACAAGAGGGACATCTGCTGAGGCGAAAGTCCGCAACCTGTGTCCTGAACCTGGAACTGGAGATAGACGAACGAGCCTGAGCCCCAGCCCTCACCACTCCCGAACTCAGTTACGATATGTCGTGGTGGAACAACTAAAGATAAGATTGCGGAGTTAGTGGTAGCCTCAGATGCGAGAATACTGTATATACTGCGTACATGTGAATCCTTCTGGGATATCAAAGTCTGGCCATTCCGCATGAGCAGAAATGTGGACCGTGATTGAGCGGATTTGGGACTCCATGGTGAACTTGATGGCATTGGTGATGAGATTGACGATGATTTGAAGAAGTCGACCAGGGTCAAGAATCACCCAGTCAATGTCGAGATCTCGAACACTGGGATGTGGAACAAATTTGAAATCGATGTTCTTGGCCTGGATTTCAGGACGGAACCTAAAAGTAGGATGTTAGTGCTGATCTCGTGTACCCAGGCTCAAGTCGACCAACATTGCCATAGATCTCTGAACGACTATAATTGGCTGTGCGGGTATTGGCGTGATGCGGAGAAGATTTGAGTCCAGTTTTGAGACGGTGAGAACGTCGTCGACGATCGACTTTTGATGCTGAACACAAAGTGCAATGTTGTCCGCTGCTTCGACACATTCTTTTGCCATTTTCTGATCGCTACTGCAAGAGAACTGGTACTGTGTCAGGGTATCTCGGATGTCATCGGCGCAGATAAGGATCGCGGAAAGTGGATCTGAGTGTTGGTGAGCTGATCAGTATATGTCTCACATGAGTTTCGTACGGAGAGATCGCTACTTCTCATCTCGTGTGACGTGATATCAATGAACTCGTTCTGCTGGCGCTTTGCCTCTTCTGCTTCCTGTATTCGCCGTTCTTGCAGGCCTTGCACCCACTTCAGATGCGAGATATCTGTAAGTGATCCCATGACACTGACGAGTTTACCGTCGGCACTTAGCTCTGGCTGACTAGCTGCCAGGACCCAATACTCGATTCGGGCGCCATCGATGTCTCGGGGTTGACATGCAGAGTTCGCGAACTGCAGCTCACGGCTTACTGGCTTGTGGTGAGTGATCATGTCTTAGTATCGACAATCAGTGTTAGTATACGTAACAAATGAATGCCACAGAACGTCGCGTACAGTCCCACATTTCCTGTGCAGTCTTTTTACTTTCCCCCACCATCATGTCAATGGACCATGGCAGTTTATCCCCTGTAGACGAGACACCAGTCATTTCATAGTATCGGTCGTTCGCCTCTACCAGAAGACCATCTGGGTCGAATAAATACATGCCCATAGGCGATAATTCGGTCATTCGCCGCATGCGTCCAGTCTGAAGCTGAAGCTGTCGAGACATCTGCTCTCTTTGTAGGGTGGCTATCTCCGCGGCTTGTTTGCTCCGGCACACCTCGTCTTCGAAAAGAAGCACCGAAGCTAGCGACGTAGCGATCTGTCTGTTGAGCATGGCCATAAAAGACCTATACTCCTGGTCATATGCTCTCCGGGGATTGATGCCTAGCAGCAATAAAGCGCACACGTTGTCTGCGTTGGTTGGTCGTAAGGGTAAAACCATAGCTTCTCTGCATGGATCCTTGTAGCCTCGCCACTCGATAACGTCTAGAAGCGGTTGTGGAAGCGTATTATCCTTGATGCTTAACATCATGGGCTCTAGGGTTCGTGTAGCGTTTCGAAAAGCCGGTGTCAGGAAACCATCACTATTTCCGAGATCTAACCTGTCGGGGGAGACTGCATGCCCTCTCGGCACTCCGATGGATCCTTCAAAAACGCAACACTTTGTAGCTGTTGGGGTGGCATCCGGATGCGAAGAAGCATTCTCAGCGCCCTCCGATTCTGTAACAGTGTACAAGAGGGCAAAAGGTACGTCGTAATCATTGTGATTCAGGCCGTCCAGAACTCTCATCCAGAATTCCTCTCAAAAGCAAACGCGATGTTAGTTTTCGTCTGGTAGGACATTCGTAAGTGTACACTTACTGACTGTACGTGTGGCATTCATGCACTCCCCAAGATAGCGCAACAGCCACATCCTTCTTGCGCTAATGGACTCAACCGTGGTGTCGAATGCGTTGAGGTAGACTGTAATCCATGTTTGAGTCAGCGTGCCTATCAATCCCGTCCAAGCCAACCCAGCTTCACCATGGAGCTATCGCAATAAGATGCAATATTACCTACACCCTAAGACGCGCTCAGTACCACCAAAGACTGGTACCTATCATGATGTGAGTGGTACGCATCCAAAGAACAGAACCCATAGCATCAACACTCACGAAAGACCAGGTAAAGAAAGCCTCTTCCATATAACCGTACCGCATGATGGGCAATGGCTGGTTGTGATTAAGCTGTGCATGACCTGTCCGCGCACATTCGCGAATTACAGGTCCAACTGCATGCCACATTTCGCCAAAAGGGCCTGAGAAACCAGTTCCCATTAAAGCCGGATGTTTGTCGCCTGTCACATCGTCTCTGTAAGCCTCATTGTAGAGCATGGTTAAGTCTTCGCCCCAGAAAACGGAAGATGGATGAGGATTGCGCATGACCAAACAGATGATCTCTCGAAATTGAATAGACCATCTACTCATAGCTCCCAACGGGGTTTTTGCCCAGTCGATGCTCCTTACAAATTGGAGATGATCCGAGAGAACACCTCTTGGGTGCGGTACTGTCCAATCTGGCACAGAAGAGTCGGGTGTAGACAAGGTTATCGATGAGATACTCGAGGAGCTGTTTCTGTCACGATCGTTTCCGAGGACTACAAATGGGAATTTAGGTTCCTGCACGTCCTCAATAATCTCCCGGGTTGGTATAGCCTCGGCAGAAGCTAAAGCTTTAGCTACATCGCCAGGCAGATCGCCAGTGTGTCTCTCTTTCTGGAGGCTTGGTGCTGATGCACACAACTGATCCCCTTCAGAAATATCTTCATCTTTGAAAAGCGTGTGCCCGCTGATCAGCCGCCAGTTGGGATGGATCGAGATGCCTAACCATAACCAGTTTTCGAACTCTATGGTAATCGGAAAGAGATCTCGAGAATCATTGAATCTGCTAAGGTTCGTCGCCCATATCCGAAATTCGTCATGTGATGCTCCAGTACCGATAGAATCATGAAAACTTGACGAGGTACCGATTATTTGTTCTAGCAGCTGCTCTCGCTCTCTCAGTGCTGCATTGCAGAAGACGGGTTGAATTGGAATTTGGCTTCCCTTGGCATAATCGTCTGTGTTGAGCATGAAAATAGGTCGATTGTCGAGATCCAATAGTCGCGGAAGAGTACATGTTTTGAGTATCTCAAGAGCGGCATCTCGTCGTTGGTCCTGGCGTAGAGTGGAAGGTGCTGTAGGCAGCGGTAGCTGGAGGAACGAGCTGCCCATTGATTCTCGGTTTGTAGGATGTCTGAGCCCTGCGCGTAGGTAAGATGAGGTACATTAGAGATAGGTTAGGGGTGTTTGTGCGATATCAGGATATAGTGTGTGATGTGAAGGAGCGTGACAAAATGTGCCTGAGCTGCTTGCAAGACGCTTCCAGCACATGCCGATAGCGATGCATCATGCGAACGCAGCTACCCGGACCGTAGCGATCAGATCAAGATTGGAAGGCACATCATAGATAAGCTGGTCTCGGAGGGTAGGTTGTCTAGCTGTTTATATGCTGTCCTGACAGCCTCTCTGGGACCGTTAGTTACATTCATGGGTTCTGTCGCGTAGCGCTTCGCGACTTCTCTATCGATGAAGCTTCGATGAAGTGTCGTCCTATCAATTCAGACCAACTCAATTGACATCTTGATTGCGCGTGTGCAACGGAAGGATACAAGGCGAGGATAGTCTTGCTCAGAGTCGATTAGGTAGAATGGGTGTCGTGCGCTGTATAACAACCACGCTAGTTGAGGATGACGTCACGCGTTCGCAGCACCGCATGGAGTCCAACACAACGCACAGGAGTAGACTGGGAAGGTTGGGTAGATGAGAACCAGACAGCGGGTGTGCTTGTTGTTTAGCTACGGATCGATGGCGCATCCCGGCGTAAAGAGCTTATAGATGTCGGCACACCCCTTGCTGGTGAAAAGTTAAGGACACTGATATTTGGGACTATATCTAGATCTCATTGTAGCGTATGTTGATTCCTGGAACGCTAGCATGTACCCGCTCCATATCTCCGGTGGGTAAGATCGGGGTATTCTGCGGGCTAGAAAAGCACATACAGTGTCCAGAAATCCGCGTGTTGGATCGTGCATCGATATATGCTCCGAGAACCTCCTGTGATGATCTCAACGCCAGAACCCTCGTCTTCGAACGTACGATATGGTTTTCATGGCTTGCAGAACACATCTCTGACATGACATAGCTGATCCGAACTCAAGAGTGGTGAGGCCGACAGTCCTGTCATGTTGGCAAATCTCGGCGTAATCGCGTCTCCACAATTTAATCCGCTTCAGGGCGGTAGGCTCTCTTCTTCCTGTAGATTCTCCGCCAAAGAGTTTCTTCACGCTTTTCTTGTTCCCGCAGTCCCTCTTGCTCACAGTAGCGACTGTATGACGGATGGATAACAGCATGTAAAAAGACCTATCGCGACGAGAGAGCGCCGAAAAGCCTACTTTTCATCGGTTAATACAAGCCCTTCGACAAGCGGATTAGCGATGTCAATGGCGCACGACTGCCGCATTCGATAGTCTCCAGGTCCCAATTTAGTAAAGCAGGGTCGGATCTGCCCAGGGAGGAGATCATGATCAGGGGCGATCCGACACGCTAACACTGTACACAGCGCAAGATCTACAGGACCATGCAGATCGACATCTACCAATATGCGCTTCCGCGACTGTCCCATGTGTTCGGCGACGCTAAAGAGGTGACAAGGAGAATAGTTCGTGACAGACTGCAACGCAAAGTGAGGGCAGGATGACGATTGGAGTCCGCACGACTCATGTTGCGAGAGTGGTTAAAGACGCGAGGCATGTTTGCTTGTTGCGGTTGACAGGGGCCCTGCATCTCTTCGTCTTCTAGGTCGTACTTTCTGCTGGTACCAAGGTTGAGAAAAGAGTCAATATGCGTCTCTCAGTCCCATCTCTAGCTCTTCTGAGCATTCTCCCGACGTCGCTTGCTGCACCCGCACCTGCACCAGCCCCGGTGGTAGCAGGAATCGCGCCAATCCCAACGCCAGGACCCTCTACTGAACAGGTCCAAAGTCTGGATGAAAGACAACTGCTGAACAACGTTATTCCTGGTCTACTTCCTGGCGTAATCTCTCTCGTCGATAACCTTCTCGGCGACGTGAACGAAGCGGTTGCACAGGGCAATCCCACAAAGGTGCTCAGCATCCTCTCGCAACTTCAACCTACCACACGACCGACGAATATCGAAGCCGCGGTGGCAAGACATTCCAAAATCTGGGCGAGTCCAACCACGCGAACAGACTTTTTTGCTGCCGTTGCAACTCAAATAGCTGATGGCCTGGTGCTCGATGGAACCCTAAATGCCGCCCTGACTGGTGGTCTACCAGTTGGTGAAAACAGCGTCAACAACAACAATCCACCTACTTCTGGTATCTATCCTAAGAAGGATAGTGCAGATGCTCCGTACACGCTCTCAGAATCTGCACTTCGCAAAGCGATTTTCATCCCACCCAGCTTCACATATGGCGCGAAACGTCCTGTGATCTTTGTGCCAGGTACTGGTGCTTATGGAGGTTTCAACTTCGCCAACAACCTTAGGAAGCTGCTGGCAGGCGAGAGCTATGCCGATCCAGTATGGCTCAATATTCCCGGTGCCATGCTCGGCGACGCGCAAACGAATGCCGAATACATTGCCTACGCTATAAACTACATCAGCGCCGTTTCGCGTACCAACAAGCAGAATATCGCCGTTATTTCTTGGTCCCAAGGTGGTCTAGACACACAATGGGTGTTGAAATACTGGCCTTCAACCCGCAAGGTTGTCACGGATTTCCTTCCTGTATCTCCGGATTTCAAGGGCACCGTTTTGGCCAACGTCATCTGCTTGACGGCAAACAGCAACCAAGCCCTTGGTCCCTGTGATCCTTCCGTTATCCAGCAAGAAGCTACTTCGGATTTCGTTAGGGCTCTCAGGAGTGATGGTGGGGACAGCGCATACGTTCCCACTACAACCTTCTACTCCGGTTTCTTCGATGAGATTGTCGAGCCTCAGCAAGGTACTGGCGCCTCCGCCTTCATCAACGATGCGCGCAACGTTGGTGTCTCCAACAACGAAGTACAACGCGTTTGTGCTGGGCAGCTAGGAGGCTCAGTCTACGGTCATGCTGGCGTTTTGTTCAACCCACTGACTTACGCATTAATTGTTGATGCGCTTCAGAACGACGGACCGGGTAACTTGGAGCGCATCGACGTGAAGAGTGTTTGCAGCAGCTACGCCGCCCCCGGACTCGATCTTGATGACGTCTTGGCCACCAGCGGGCTGATTCCGGTGGCTGGGGTATTGCTTTTGGCATACCCACAGAAGTCGTTGATGGAGCCTAAATTGAGGGCCTACGCCACGTAATCTGCATGTATAGACAGTCATGACAATAGCGTAATCAGTAATGTGTTTTATGATTTGATACATGAATTCTTCCAGCTGCTCGTATCACGAGAGTCTCTCAACACGTTGTTTCCTCTACCGTGCATTGATACCATAGCCAACCTTGTTGTTGTCACAACTGCTAACCACAGCAAAATCTTCCAAAACACCTCCTGACTTCGACGATCGTGCAATAGACATCGCAAGATGTATCGAACCAAGCTATCAACTAGTGCAGTGAGTAGAGGTCAATTAGTCTAAGTCATGTGCCTGTTGTAGCCTCGCCTACTATTCTTCCCGCTTGGAAGTCGGTGTGGGAGCTAGCAAAGGCCCATGGAGCTGCGGCGAAGGAAATGAACTCATGATGTTCGAGTAAGCTGGGTGAGATCCGAAGCTTCCAACTCCTGGTGTAGTCATGTATGTGTCCCAGTTGGTCTGATGGCTGGGGGCCGGAACCATTATCGTCTGTTGATCTGGAAGCTTGACTATTCTCTCCTCATTCTCCTTGTGCTGCTTCATCCTATCTTCACCTACAGCATTTATCTTCGTTGCGGCCACCCGTTCTGCAGCAGCCTTCATGAACACTTTCTGCACCTGTGTGATTGCTTTGGGATTTAGGGCCTTTTCAGCTCTATCTATCTCCAAAAACTTTGCTACTTTTTGTTCTCGCGAGAGTTTTCTGAAAGCTGCCATGCTTGTTGCTCGACAGGATGGGTCGGAAAAGTCCGGTAGGCCTGAAAATGTGGGCGCCTTCGTGACAGATTTGGAAATGCCGGCAGGCTTGGTGAGGGTTGGAAAGCCGGGATGGATGTCACCATGGTAGTTAGAAAAGGAGCCAGGCTGCGCGGGCAAAGGTCGAGATGTGACGGGGGCAGGTCGTGGCTGGATATTCTGCACCCCAGGGCGGGATGAATAGCCTGATGGCTGGAGGTAACCTGTTTGCTGGAAAAGACGCTGGGTGGGCTCAGCTAGCTTGTACATCTGTGGTGTGGAGTTAAGTGCGTGCGAAGAATGTTGATTTGGTATAGCAATTTGCTGTTTTCCTAAATGCCGTACGTAACTGGGTGTATGCGGCTGTTAGGAAACCGGATTCGGTACATGAAACGACCTTGGTTGATCCGAAGCACCATTTCGATGTCCTTGTCGTAATGATGACATCCTGTTTTGCTGGTAAACTTGTGGGATGGTTTGAGAGTCAGAAACTGAACGTTGCATTCCATGCCTCTGCTGGTGATTGAGTAAGTGGGCCAGTTCCATAGCAACAGATGCCTCGATCTCTTCGTTCCGATGAAGGTAGTACTGCAGGTCAGTAAGGGTCAGAGTTCCGGAAAGCTCAGGAGAAGTAAACTGGCCGGGATACGCGTAGAGCAAACGAGGGTCGATGCAGTTGTGCGTAAGGAGTGGTACCCTTGCCATATTAGGAGCCGGAGGTGCTGGTGGACCAGTATCGGTTGGAACAGAATATGTCGGCACTATAGGTTGATTTTGGTTCTGCATTACTAGAGGAGGCGTAAGCGTTGATTGAGTAGCTCGAAGTGGAGGAAATGATAGGAAAAACCATTGAGCAATGGATTCAGGGAAGGGTCACACGTACCTTTTACGTTCTTGGCTGCAACCTGTGCGATCCTTTCACTCTCATACTTCTTCCAGGCGTCGCTAGGCGGAATATCGCGACCCAGTAACCGGTATGGACCCTTCTCCTGCGCGCGACGAATGAGAAACAAAGCGAGACAATCTAGGTTTTCCGTGAAATCATTAAGCTCGGTCGGAAGGTCTTGGTGGCGACGCTCGATTGCGAAGAAGACACGCTCGAAGACGAGGTCATCACCATCAGTGTAGGAGCCCTGGCCCATATTAGTTCTCCGATTGCAGCAGGAACCAGTGCAGGCACGAGGTAACCCACAGACTTGCTGGTAGAAGAGTCGAGCACGCGCTGAATGTACGGCGTAATATCGAGATTACGATGCAAAACATGCTGGAAAGCGTAGCGCAGGTAGGGCATCAGCGTGTGTGCGACCCATTGCAGGTCGACAGGCAGCGTTTGGGCGCTCATGTTAGGCCATACAACTTAGCGACAGTGAGGTCCGTAACAAGAAATGCCGAAGACTGTGAGAGGGCCACTGGGATTGAAGAAGGTGAAAACCGAAGTACGTGATACGGGGCGCCGCATTCACCTCAACTTTTTTGTACTCTGCGTGAAAGCGGGCTCCACACTGTATCATTTCCATTCTTGCAAGTGGTTGGTAGCGATGTGAATAACTGTAGTGAAGAAGGCATTATTTTCACCGTGCCGGGATGATAAAATGTCTTCTTCGGGATGACAGAGACATGTAGCGCTTTGAAGGCGTGCGTGGATCATGTTCACAAAATATTTTGACAAACACTGAATCAATTCTCCAACAGCGAATCGACATGAAACATCACGAAACGAGTAGCAGAAGGCATAATCCATGGCGAACGCGGCTCGAACACCTTCACGTTGACCGTGGATGTGTATGTCATGATCGTACTAGATAATCAGACTATGATCGTGTACCTGATCTGATAAGCGACCTGTATAGACAGTTGGCTGATCACGGTGAAAGAGCCGTTGGTAAACTTCAAGGCGCACTTCTGTCGGAAGCATAGTGAGGGGCGCAGGACATTGAGCATTCATAGGTACTGCGAGCCTTTTAAAATACCGATAGTTGAGTATGCCACCATGTTCATGCTGGGAGAATGACACACTTAAAACAAACGTTGTTGTCGAGATTGTAGTTGGGAATCTCGGGAGAGATGGATGGCGGCGAGATAATCTGGAAGGGATTTGTGGCTGCGAACGTCGCTTCAGTAGCAGAAGTTTGGCGGACCGATCAATAGGGCGTTTGTGCATACGAAGTGACTTGTTCAACATAACCGGGGAAACATTGTTGGCGGCTTTCCGGTGCTGGCATAGCAGAAGGGCAGTCGCGTGCTAGCGTTTATGAAAGGACGTGTCTGCGCAAGTGACGCAGTTTAAAGATGACGTAATGGCCATCATCTTCCTCTCCACTCTATTTCACTCCACTCAGTTTCTCCGCCAATCCCACGTGCACGCACATACTCTCATTTATATATTCAAAACGGCTTCGAGAGCAACCGTCAATTTTCAGGAAATCTAGAATATGGGCTTATTGGGCGTGCGTAAAGCCGAGGTACATTATGGTTCGGGGAGGAGTACAAGCAAATGACCGACCGAAGCCTCAAGCCAAAGCCGGTATAGAATTCCCACACTACTTCCCTAGCAGTTTGGAAAGCGCGGAAATGTCGTGCAAACCACTCCGTTCGTATCATCTTATGGTCGCCTTCTCTCATGCTGACATTCCAGCCCCTAGGGCGTAGGTAAGCAGCAGTACGGCGCAGCACAACCGTCTTTTCATTAGCTACCGGGCATCAACTCATTCGAGAGTCCCCGGGAGCGCTCGGATATTAACTATGGGGTGGCCGCATGCCTCTGCAAGAGTGCGGCGAAGCACACCTGTCTTATCTACTTGGTAGCTTTCCAGGACCGGTCAAGGCATCAGAACTCGGTTTCTTGCTAAATGGTATACCTATTTCGAGAGGCTGGCTACTACGTTTGGACTCTAGAAGAGGAAGGTTAAATCACGTAACCATCTTTCATAGTCGTAGAAGGAATGCAGTTCTTACCCGGCTAATAACCCTAGCTTTGACTCTCCATAGTCAGACTAAGGGATCATGCATCGACTTGGCAATACTGCAACACGGTGGCGCTGAAAGACGATGGATCACAGCGTGCAGCGAAGTCAGCATTAACATTTCATCCAGCCAGTGCGACAAAGCAGCAGTACTCCATCGGCAGCGCCGTACATTTCGGCTAGGAGAAGATGATGGAATTGGAGGTGAATCAATATTCGACCGCAGCTTAGCACACTATCCAGTATTCGATGGGATCATGGGGTACTAGAACGGGAAAAGGGAGTGCTTCATCCGTGTCTGCAGCAAAGCGGCAAGGGCGACTGTGTATCAAAAGGATGGCGTATTAAAGCGCCTCTTCGTCCCTGCCGGACTGCCCGTTCTCACTATTCACTTTATCAACATCCCGCATTCCCTTTCTATCCGCAGACATCTTCGTTGCTCTTATCTCTTCTGCCCTAGACCACGACTTGGAACAAATATCCTCTTCTTTGGGAAAACAACGATCTTCCGACTCTTCCAACGCTAAGTCAAAATGAAGTTCGCTCTCATCAGCACAGTGATCTATACCGCCACTGTTCTTGCCGCTCCTGGAGCCGTATGTCTTGCCAAACCACAGTGTCAAACGCCTGACTAACACACTACCATCAGATTTCGCTCAGCCGTTCCTTCAAGACCATTTCGGTGCGCGATGACAACAATGTCGAGGGTACTAGTCATATTGCCTGTGTCGAGTGTCCATGCGAAGTATGTCTTCCTTAGTTCACATCTCTCTCCCCTCGAAGGTGTATCGATGATTCAGATGACTCAAAGATAGTCCTCGAGCTGATTACTTTACTAGGGCTTCTCTGGCGACTGTAAATGCGTCAACAATGGTTGCTGCTGTGATATGACAAACCCCGGACAACCGCCTGCAGGTGGCTGGTAGAGGTCTTATTTTCTAGTGGGAATCTTCGAGATACGGAAGCTGATGCTCTAGAACGCCTCTTTTCTTGTAGGAATAATGTGTCTCGGCTACTGAACTTGGCGTGGAAGCTGTATGTGTTGGGTCTTTGGACCTTATTCTTGCCAAAGCAGTGAGACAACATTTGGGGTTGATGACAGTGATGGGCGCTGGGAGGCTGTATAAGATCTAGCCTAGCTCAGTATAGCTCTTCTCTCAAATAGCTCTTGAACCACCCAGTCCTTTCGCCACTTTTCTCTTCTTTCTTCCCCTCTTGCTGCTATTAGTGCTTTCTCCCATGACTTCAGTAGCATCCCCGCTATTATGTGCAGTATCATCTTTCGTACCACTGGTCCCTTCCGTTTTACTCTTCCCCTCTTCCCCACCTGTTTCTTCACTCGACTCTGTCTCGTTACTCCCATCACCATCCGCCACATTCTCCATAGTCCTCAATACCATAAGCATAGCAATCGCGAAATCTCCCCCTTTGTCCGCCAGGATCTCGCAGAATTCGCGATTACTATCTTTGCTAGCTCCTTCTATTGTTATCATATCTTCATTGAAATCTCTGTTCCTCGTTCTCAATGCCTCATAGTAGGTTTGTATAAAGGAATCATCAACGTTTGCTCGATCCATTGCTTGGATTAGTAAGTCTGTTTTTTCGATGACTTCGGACCATGTCCCGTCATCGAATTCGGTTTGCGTGAGGTTAGAGCCATACGCGAGCTTAATCATAGGGACGAGAGAGTCTGTGATCCACGTGGGTGTAATACCTGGAGTGCGAAGCCTGGGTAGAACCTGCGCGAGCTTGGGTGGAATCGAGTTCGTAGCGGAGGTCGCGTCTGAATGTGAGGGGACCGCGTGCTGGTACGGCTCGTAAGGCTCAGTTGCGGGCATTTCGTCCATGTTTATGATCTAAGAAACTGAAGATGAGGCTAGCTATCATGAAAGAATACGAGGCATTTTGAAGCACCTATGTATAAAGCGAATGGATTGCTCTTCTTCGAACCGATGGTAGCGCATGACTACGGCGTTTGCCCATAGGATCAGATCGTGCTTACCAGTAAATGGAAGATCGCGCAGTAACATCCCTGGATACTTTATCTGTAGCAATACCTTCTCAGTTGAGTTTCTACCTCAGTACGTCGCCGCGGCCTCGTCGCGTATTGCAAAACACTACCAAACGATTTCTGAGTTTTCAAGCAATCCTCCACACATGGATCTCTATCCGAAGATGGCCGCAAGATAAAATTCAGCTTCAATTATCAAACAATTCAAGAAGAGTCAAGTTAGCTGCGACGTTGAGTAGCAGAAGACTACGAGGGATGTACCCAGTAGTTTGGAACGACCAACAAGTGCCACGTGCACGGTGACAGTGGGCAGCTTCACGTCGACGTCATCATACCGAAACTACGACGCGCAACCAAGTGCGTGCCCAACAACATGTCGGAAATGGCCGGGAATACATGGCGCTTAGGGCGGGGTTGCGACAGATGTTACAACTGGCCTGTAGCCTCCGCTGACAGGATATGCTTCCCTGGTGCAAATCGTCGATATCCAGGCAAGCGCTGCTAGCAACCCAGCGGGTACCCAGTCGCATATCTCGAGCCCCGCGCATCACCCACGGAAAGCATATCGCAAGCATGTCGTCTGATACAAAACAGCAAAAGAATGTCAAATTCGGGCATCTGCCTCTTTCTACATCCGGGCCTCTAGAGACCAGTCTGTAAGAAGTGTCCCTGTACGAACTGCATGTGAGACATACACTGACTTCGCACACGCACCTTTAGGACTGTACGACGTGCACATTCGCTCGGACTACCAAACGACTAACGCGCCATTCAGGGCAATGCACTTCTCCGGACGCCGTACTTCAACAAGGGCTCAGCCTTCACCAAGGAAGAGCGCGACACATTCAAGCTCCATGGCCTCCTCCCCACCAACATCCAGACCCTCGACGAGCAGGTCAAACGCGCATACGCCCAGTACAACTCCCGACCGAGCGACCTTGCGAAGAACACCTTCATGACCAGCCTGAAGGAACAGAACGAGGTGCTATACTACAGGGTGCGCTACAGTTGACAGTGTTGGTCATGGCATGGCTGACGACTACGCAGCTTATCCTCGACCACCTCAAGGAAATGTTCTCTGTTATATACACCCCTACCGAAGGCGAGGCCATAGCCGACTACTCCAAAATCTTCCGACGGCCCGAAGGTTGCTTCCTAAACATCGACGATGCAGACCGCGTCGAGGACGACATGAAGCAGTGGGGGAATCCCGAGGATATCGATGTGATTGTCGTGAGCGACGGTCAACAGATTCTGGGAATTGGCGATCAAGGTGTAGGAGCTATCTTGATCAGCATCGCCAAGCTCGTTATCTACACGCTATGTGCTGGAATACATCCTTCGCGGACGCTGCCTGTAGTACTTGACTGCGGCACCGATGTCAGTATAGAGAGTCTGATAAAATGAGGCATGCTGATAAACGTAGAACAAAGATCTCCTCGACGACGAGCTATACCTTGGTATACGGAAAGAGCGAGTCTTTGGCGAGAAATACGATGACTTCGTCGACAAGTTTGTAAAGGCTGCAAGGAAGCATTACCCTAAAGCGTACATCCACTTCGAGGATTTTGGACTGAACAATGCACGAAGGATCCTAGATAAGTACACACCTGAGATCGCATGTTTCAACGACGATGTACAAGGGACCGGTTGCGTGACGCTCGCAGCGATCATGGCAGCTTTTAAAGTGAGCGGAACCAAATGGGAAGAAGCTCGCTTTGTCATGTTCGGCTCAGGATCAGCGGGTACGGGAATTGCAGATCAGATCCAAGATGCTATCGTCCAAAACACCGGAAAATCCAAAGAAGAAGCCGGGCGCCAAATCTGGTATCTTACTCCACAGCTCCAGTCAGCTAATTCACGCTAACTTCGATCAGGTGCGTCGATAAACCCGGTCTTCTCTTACAGGGTAAAAAGGACCAACTTACTCCAGCCCAGCTTCCGTTTGCGCGGGACGATAAGGAGTGGGAGGGCAAAGAGCACGGCGATCTGCTGTCCGTCATCAAGGAAGTAAAGCCGCACGTGCTCATTGGTACCTCGACCAAGCCTGGGTCCTTCTCAGAAGACGTCGTTCGAGAAATGGCAAAACATGTCGAACGCCCCGTCATCTTTCCACTCTCAAACCCAACCAAGCTCCACGAAGCCAAGCCGCAAGATCTGTATGACTGGACCGATGGCAAAGCGCTGGTTGCGACAGGTTCGCCATTCCCGCCGGTTAAGCACAATAGCAAGGAGTACGATATCTGTGAGTCTGTTGATACTACCTCTGTGTTCATGTTACTGACGACTACAAGCTGAATGCAACAACTCGGTGACATTCCCTGGTATCGGCCTCGGCGCAGTTCTCTGTCGAGCCCGTCTTATGACTCCCGCTCTCCTCGTTGCAGCTGTCCAAGCCCTCGCTTCGGCAGCTCCTGTTCTCAACAACCGTGGAGCCGGCCTGCTTCCAGATGTGGAAGACGTTCGTGAGATCAGCGTTCAAATAGCGAGGAACGTGATCAAGAAGGCTATAGAGGATGATCTAGCTCAAGAGAAGGACATACCAAGTGACGATGCAGAGTTAGAGGAATGGATCAGAGAACAGATGTGGGAAGCAGAATACCGTCCGTTAAAGTTGGTGGAAGAGAGCAACGCAACTGCGCATGCAAGAGGAGAAGCAGGAACAGCGAGCGGACAGAGAGAGGCGAAGCACTGATGTATACAGTCATGTTGCACATACATCTCTAACGTATACGTCCACAGTTACAACACCCCTCCTGACCTACCTTCTTCGCCTTCCTCTCACGCGACCATAACATCAAAACATGTGCTATACTTATTTGCACCACCAAAACTCCACACCCATATCATCATGTGCCGTCCCTTCTCCATGCATTCCGGCCTGCAAAGGACTGTTAGTGAAACGACGTTCTATGGAGCCTCTTCCTCTCTTCTCAATACGACACCGAGAAGAAAATAATATGGACTTACAGATGCAACGTTTGCCAGTTTCCCTTGTCGTGAAGGTCTTCCGGTCCCCACCCCGGCGCTGTTACTTTCTTATCCAACGGATATGCGAAACTCTCCTCACTGAACCCGTTCCTCTGCATAAGATTGTCCTCCGTCAACTCCTTTACATCTACAATGTCTTTTTCTTTGCTACCGGCCCAATAAACGGATACTTTCCCTGGGTCACCCATCTCAACACCGCCAAAGTTACCACGGCTGTGACCGTTGCCGCCGAACATGAGGGTTATAGATGACCCAGCCGAGGCGGTTACCATTGGAGCGGGTGCAGTATGTGTGGGCGGTTTGTGACCAGGTTCTTGGGGGATAGAGGAGGCCAAGTATTGAAGGGGGGCTCGTTGGCTGGGGTGGCATGCGTGTGTGTCGGATCTTGAGGCTGCGGCGGGGAGGTCCCATAGATCTGTAGGTGATTAGCCGTGGAAGGAAGGGAGAGCAGAGTACGTGACCAGTCGACGAGGATAGAGATAACATACACTCAAGGCCTTCATCCTGCCAATTTCCAGGGTTCTACTTTGCACAAGACCAACCGTGGCAGAGCTCTGCGTACCAGGGTCCGCTGTGACATGATCAGTCTGCCGTTTTCTTTTTCGGTACACGTCGTTGTGCAGAACGTGCGTACAGTGGATCAATTTCTCTGGGTGGTGTTTCAGCTGCTGCAGCTGCCATGTCTGCTTTTATGCCAGTGTTGTTATGGTGGGTGCAGTGTAGCCATGAGTGCGCTAGAGATATCTTCAATAGTGGTGTTATGGCGGCTAAGATGATCGGCTTCATATTGCTTGAAGATTTTCGTTGTTCTGGCGATTATATGATGTGTAGGGAAGAGGACATCAGGCAGCATATATTTGTCAGTGATGATATTTTGAACGGCTATGGAGATGAGCAAAGAGAATGTGTCACAATATTGTTATTCGTAAAATTCCTGTTACATTGATGGATATTCGATTGAAGTATTGCATCGATTAAGGCTATATTAGAAACATGCTACTGGTAAACAACGATAGTAGACAGCATTTGCAGCGCGTGCAAGGAAAGGACCAAACACCATTCTTACAATCACATATTTTCGCTGTTGACGCAAGATCCTAAGTGACGGAAACGCCCAACGCATACATCGACCAAAACCAACCCCTGTGCCTTCTTCTGACTTCCTCTATAACGTAGCCTCAGTGCCACTTAGAACTGGACTGCGTTCAAATCGTCGTATTGCAGCCTCCTATCGTGCATGGCTTCAGTGACCATTGTTATCTGCCTTCCTAGCCATACTAAGAGCTGATCAAGGAGCATAATGAGGCCCAAAATAATCCACTTGATGCTATGCAAAGCAAACCCACTCATACCAGTCGCCCAGTCCCAATAAAAACGCAGAATGTTCATGATGTAGACATCTACGTTCATCTCCTGTCCCGTTATAACCTCGTATGCGCGTTCTATAATGAACACAGTAATTCGAGATGTGATCTGGTAGAACATTGTCCGGAAAACGAACATAGTCCAGCTTTCGAGCACTCGTGGCAATGTATCCTCGAAAGCTTCACGAAACGTACGCCGAGGTTGGTAAGTTGGTTCGCGAAACGTAGTATGTAACCGCTGCCTCTTGTGCCGGGAATGTATGTTGTCCGTGGCGCGTGGAAACCATGTTGAGGGTGAGAAAACTGTTAAACCGGGGAAGATGGCGACGGCCGGGTGCAAGGCTCCTACGGTCTTGTACTGTGCGACAGGTTCACCAGGAACTACTGAATCGACGGAATATCGGCGACAAAGACCTTCAGAATCGTCATTGTACGTGTTAACGTCAGTTACCGGTTTTTCTGGTACCACCAGCACATGAATGGAAGGAATCGCAAAAGCAACAACGAGGAGGAAGGGTAGGCGGACGGCGACTTCAAAGAAGAACATGTACAAGCTTGCGGCTACTATAATATGCAACTAATAAGTGGTCAGCAAAGAAGTTGCGCAACCCTCCGATGTAGCAGAAGTGTCTTACCGAGTACAATTTAGTCAACTGAAGCAGAGTTTGCTGGCCGTCTTGAAACGCAATGCACAGCTGCGTTGTCGAGTGTACGGGTTCGCTATCTTTTCTCTTAATTTGAATCGTACCCACGGTGATCTGGCTTGAATCAACGTTTGTCCCATAATAACAAGGCTGATTCAGGAAGGCGAGGTCCTGGGAATCCTTGATGCTTCCCAATTCTTGCAGGCTTCGATGCGACTGATTGCGCGTATGGTGATTTGACGCCACCGGCATAGTTGCTAGGTGCTCGCGTCGTTCGTGATATTGAAATGCAAATTGAGGAAATTGACTGAAGTATGGGGTACAAGCATAGTTGTGATTGCGATGTTTGAAGTGGAGCAACAAGTGGACAAAGAACAACATTCAGCATCTCCGGATCTGGCATGCTGCACATGTCGATGCGAAGTCACGACAACTAGACAAAGCAAAAATCTTTGAGGTGTTGAAAGGCTCAGCTTTGAGCCTGGTACTGGTTGCGAAGCTAAGTGCAGATATATACTTGTCAGTTTGGCAATCCCCATGCGATGTTAGTAAAGGGCACAACTTAAGGCATGACAAGAAGAATGTGAGCGCTGATTTTGTTACTTGCATGCAAAGGAAGGCAAGTACGAAAGCATAGAGAGTGGTGAAAGTACTATAGTATTACTGGTAGCGGTCGCTACCGTCTTCCGTGCTATGTTGCTATTCATAGCCGTGGCCGTTAAACGCTTTCCCGCGCCTCGAGCTCCCAAATCAGAAACTGTACGTTGTGTTCGTGATCGTCGTCGTTGTAGTAGTGACCAGTGATAGCGTGATCCAATAGCTCTCTTACGAAATGGTCGTCTTGTCGTCGTATGAATTTGCAGAATTCCTCATACTCCCTTCCTAGTGTAAACTGGACAAAGCATTCGTTCATGACAAAATGAGTAGACTGCGCGATGCTCTCAATGTCTCTCATAGACGGGCTGACGACCGAAGATAAGAAGGATGAGATGGTTGCAGTCGTTGCGGAGCCATCCAGGGATGCCAGATAGGCGAAAATGGTGGTTATGCCACGTTCCCCGAATGAAGATCGTATCTGGTCCTCGCGGTCTTGGCTCGTTCGGATTTCGGTCAGTACGATGAGAGTCCTGTTCCCCAGGCGTTCGGCATCGATGTGATAAGCGCTTTTCCTGTTGCACTGCGGATCGTCCCGGGTCTTTGCATTCACCCCCGCCATGTGGAAGTCGATTTTGAGGGCCGGAGTCGCATTATTCGCGATCAGATGCCGATTGAGGTAAGCGACGAAGTGATTGCGCAGCCTATGAGTGGCCGTGGGGACCTTTTCGGATAAAACGGCAACTGCGAAGTCGTCTGTAGGGTTGGAAATGGTGGGAATGAAAGCTCGACATAGGTCCGTGCCCAAGCGATGCGCTAGTCGGTCGTCGCCAAATACATAGCGTTGGTAGTCCTTGAGGGAAAACGGAAAGTGCGACTCGTCGCTGCCGACGATGTTGTGCAGTGAGAAGACATCCTGGACCATTGAGACTCGAGAGGTCTTCGGACCCTAAAAGATGAATTTCGTGGGTCAAAGAGAGTGTGCGAGCATTTGAGGTCCGCTTGCCGTATAGCTAGCGGCGACCACCGTCTGGATTTCGACCTGCCAAGAATGGGGCTGTGTAAATGTCACTCTTCTCGAAACCGCCCGTCTTCACTAAAATCCCGCACCATACGTCATATGCTAACTTCTCCGGACGTACCTGAGTTCATGGTAGGTTCAGGGCACGTGTTGATGCTCGGAACACTGCAGATCTTTGTTGCCGATTGCGCTCCCAGGGGCAAACGCTGCATAGTGCCGCGTGTCGTTTTCGCCCTGTCACATGTCGCGCGTTGGAACTTATTTGCAGCGTCAACGGCGCATTCTTTGGCATGGAACAGGATCGAAAGCGACAGTCGTCAAGGAGCGGTGTCTCCGAGCGCTAGATGACGGTGAGATACCAGGAAGCGCCGTCGGAACAAGCACCGGCAAATCGAATAGGCTTTCAAGTTCGGAGTGCATGTCAAGAAGGAGACGGAAGACGGGGGGCATAATATCTATTATAGTATTGCATGTTATACATATGCCATGGCCAGTCACCACTCAACAAGCAAGTGCGTAAAAGCTTATTCTAAGAGCACGATGCTTGGCACCTACTCCGCGTGTATGCTGATCAGCCTCATCCAGTACAGACAAAGTAGATGCCACACATCAATTTTGTACTGGCAGAGGCCCTAGTTTTTTTCAGCTGCGAATAGCACCATGACTGAAAACAGTAATGCGCCCCTCCTTATGAGCTTTTGAGAGATTTCAGCCAATTCCCTTCACATCCACCTGTGAGTCGAGTGATGTATAGGCTCAGGGAGTATCAAGCACTTTGGGATTAGTGAATGAAGAAATCGTGAGCCACATCTAAGAGACTCTTTTCGCGATGTGAGGGCGTCAGAGTGACCTCATTGTAGGCATCCACTGTGAGTCGAACAGGATCGGCATCTGGGTTCACAGCATATGTTCTGTCAGAGGCGTATCGAACCACTTTCGGAGAGCAATGGGCGCCATGTTGTCCAACTTGTCACTGCCGAAGCTGGGGTAATCTGTGCGAAAAAGTGGCCCATGGGCTGCAAAGTATACCTAGCCCCACCAGGTGGACTTGGAGCTCAATAGCGAGAACTTGTAGGTGCAAGCGCAAGCTGCGACAACAGGAAAATGAATTGATACTTCATTCCCAGAAATGATGATGCCGGACGGAGAACAACTGTTGCCAGTAGTTCCAAGGTTAGATAAAGTAGTGTGCCCCAAGCTCCCTGGATCGCATGTGGGGCACCTATGATCTGTGAGTGTAGACAAACATGAACACAACAATGGTGCCACTTCACCCTTCGCTGACAAGCATCTATGAGTTTTTCCAGGTCGGAACAAGCACAGCCTAACACCTGCGGAAAGCCACTGCAATGGAAAGCGAACGTCGCGCAATGGCTGCTATTACTGCAGGCTTGTCAGCGATGCGCAAGTCTTGCGGCCTGACAGGAACGTGTGGGCACGGATAGTGACGTGCCATAACGCACACTTTTACGAAGGGACCTGGGTTGTTATAGATGCCATACGCTGCTCGGGCGCCGATAGCACGACTAAGCGTGGACAACCTCGCGCCAATAAGGACGTAATTCCGCTCCAAGACTTGACTGTAACCACGTATGTACTCACTGAGCGCTGCAGAAGTTGAGGGTATATAGAGATTAACGCTTGGGCCATAGGTCAAAGCGGGGTGTACTGCTGAAGCAGCCATGGAAAGTCGCGCTGCGGAATATGATAGCACGTGGCTGGGTGGAACCCTCTTGGCCAAGCACCGGCGTCAGCCTAGTCGCGACTTCCAACATCAACAGACATACAACACGCGTCACTACCCTTCTCAGCGCGCGTCCTGCTTGGCCTCTACCAAGTCGGTATCGTTCATGATCAATCATGTATTTTCCTACCCAAACTAGCAACCCTTGCCACCCTCACAATATTAAAAGCCCATTTACTCGATAGCGATGCGAACAGAAATGGAGCCCTTCGTCGTCTGCGCAACAATCAAGTCATGGTCATATGTGATGTCCTCCTTCACAGTGTCCACAAGCTTCGCCCTCGGAAGAACATTGAGTACCATGTACGCGCCCATGATGTACAGCTCACAGTACGCCAGTTGCTCACCGATGCAGCTGCGGCTTCCTTTTCCGAATGCGATCAGCTTCTTTTGCAGTGCGTAGTTTTGCGATCCATCCTCCAATAGCCAACGTTCAGGAAGGAATTCATCGGGGTCGGGGAAAAGCTCCCTGTTCCAGTGGTTGATCATGGATGTCATGCCAATGGGGGTGCCTCTCGGAATGACCCAGTCGGATTTGCCATCCGCGGACACGTAATGTAAGTCTTCCAAGCGAGCAATCCTGGCTGAGCGATGGGACACACCAGGCATCATGCGCAGACACTCTTGCAGGACAGCCCAGAAGTATGGTACCTTCTCTAGTTCCACCCATTTGAGCGTCTGTAGGTTGATACCGGCGCTGGACAGATCGGCCAGGAGTCTCTGGTAAACCTCTGGCTTTGCCAATGTCCAGTAGGTGAAGACGGTAAGTATAGCCTGCATTCATCGTCAGTCCTCGAAATTTAGAGGCAAAATCCATCTGATACTTACAGCTGTAGTTTCGGTACCCGCAAGCAAAAAGTTGAAACCCTCGCCATTGTAGCGGAACTTCTCCTCCTCAGACATAGTCTTGTCCTTACCCATGACTTCAGCGAAAACACGTCCGTTCTCTGGGTTCTTCAAAGCCTGGCCAATGTACTGGGGAATGGTTACGTTCATGACTCGCATGACAGCCTTGATATCTTCGCCGAGATAATCAGCCATGAACGGTAGGACCTGCGCCATCTTTCGACCCAAAACGTTGTGACGCATCATGTATGCGCTCTTGAAGAATGACTTGACCCAGGTTGCGAAGTTTGGTTCCCAGCCTTCCTGTGCGACAAAGCCCATGGGCTCACCGAATGCGTATTGGGAAATCACGTCGGCAGTATAGCAGTTGAATGCTTCTTTGACGTCAAAGGCGCTTTTCCCAGCGAAAGTGAGCATCTTGTTCGCCGTCATCATGGCAAACTCATGTACTTCGCCCTCCAGCTTCAACATCTGTTGACGCGAGAAAAACTTGCTCAATGGCGCCTTCCGTGCGCGGTGTAGGTCATGGTCAACTGTCGAGAATCCAGTTACCGCAACAGGTCCGACTCCACCAGTGTTCAGTTGATGCTGCCACTTATCGCGCGAGCGACCGGGGCCAGCATATATCTCGTCTGTGAAAGCAGGGTCGGAGCAATGTAGTTCGTCTGGGTTTATGCGTACGATGGGACCGTATTGCTCGTGCATGCGGGCAATGACTTTGCCATATCGTCCTCCGAGCCACCAGTCGTAGTATGCTTCGTAGAGGTAGGATACAGCTGCGATCTTTGGGCCTGGGAAATGAGACAATGGATGGAAAGGTGATATGTTGTAAGCGGCAATGGCGATCCTATAGCCTATCCAGAGAACGACAAGCCATGTCGCGATCGCGAAGGGGAAAACTGACTTGGAGTCCTGTGAAAGGCCCGAATGGTCGTCCATGTTGGGAGTGTTGGGCAGTTCGACGACGCACAACTGCACAAAGGAGAACGCGATTGCATGGCATCGTTTCAGCGAGGGCAATGGTATATACCAATGGAGTGTCTCTAGTCGACTGATGGCTCAACAGGGTCGATCCTTTCTCCTTCTGATTGCTGGCTTTTGCAGTGCATCCGCACTTGGCGAAAGAACGGGCATCGCGTGTCCAGCGCCGAGAATGCGCCGTATCGACCCCACTGGGTTTTCATTTAAGAGTGGTATCATTGGTGCCCTAGGACCTTAGAGGATCATAGCGCCACGTGGAAAGGGAGGCCACATGCTCAAGTGGAGATGCGCGCACTCTGCGCGAGTCTTTGCGGGAATGTTGTCCGTTTGAGTTAATCCAAGTTTGGGACTCAAAACTCTTCGCCATCAGCCCCATGGTCTTAAGACACTAACAATTCCGTCGACAAGCGCGCAATAATGGTGCGCCTGGCTAGTAAAAGACCCGAGAACCTGGGACAGGGCTGTTTTCAAGGTCGGAGAATTTGCATATTTGTTCTGGAAGACATGCTCGCCATGCCTGCCGCCACAGGCAGAATGCGACTCAAGCCAAGAACAGACCTTGCCCAGGGATGTGGAGACGAACATGAGGTCTCTGTCCGTTCCCTGCTAATTCATGCTGCCGATGACCCTCGAGACGGAGAGTTGCGGCTGTCATACGGCAAGCGGATGAGGCGCCCGGCAGAGACCCTTGGCCCTGTGGGTCACATCCTGGGCTAGACCGTTTCACCGCCGGCAACATCTTGCCGCATATTACCATTCCCTTTCAGGCCTCATGTCTGTATTTCCGTTACGGCTTAACGTGCAGGAATGCACGAGATTCATGTCACTTCATTACGATCGTCATCTCGCGTAGTTTGAATTATCTGCATGCGTATCCGGGGAGCTCGAACACACATCCGAAAGGGATAGTTCAAGTGTTCGGCCAACGTTTGTGGCAATGATCCTTAAGGCCCCCACTGTTTGGCTTTGACAGGCAGGGAACTGTTTTCGGTCCGCAAGGCCAGGCCCGCTAACCCAACGGGCAATGCGATCATTGACGAAAGTCAAGAGGAGTTTTGAGGGAAGACAGGAGACCACAGCATGGATCAGGTTTTATGAACACTCTGTCGCCCCGACTCATCGCCCGGTCTTCTCTCCTTCGTTCTTTCGTCAACACCAGTTCTCACGGCCGGATCCACTCTTTTAGTACTTTGTTCATTACTTTGCATCTCTGTAGCATTGCCTGAACGCGTTGACTGCGTGCGTGGCTCGCACAGAGCAAGATGGCCGACATGGTGGAAACGATCGGTATACCGATGACCAGGAGCGGCCGTGATTCAATGATAGCGATGTCATGTCTATGGCTGCTCTTTGCAACCACTGTTTTCTTTCGGTTTCGCGGTCGCATGCGAGGACCTGGATTAGCACTGGACGATATCTTCGCAGGCATTGCACTGGTACGCATCGCGCTATCTTCATACTTGGCATCCGAGCTCACAATCTTTGAAGGTCCTATCGACAAGTACCATCGGGTTGAATGCTGTGGGTAAGACTTGGATCTTCGCCAGAGTTATGGATATAGAGTTGACACCCAGACAGTTTTCACGATCGGAGTTGGTTATGACTTGGATAAGAACAATGCTGAGATGTTCCCTAAGCGTACGTCCGCTCTAAAAGTCGTTGCGTTTTAAGGAGGCGAATCAACTAACCAACTTAACAGTGATGCACAACCTTCCTGTTGTCATGCAGATAACGTTTGCCTTCACTTTGATCTACATCTGGTGTCTCGCAGCTCTCAAGCTTTCACAACTGGCTCTATACCACCGCGTCTTCCAGCTCCAATTGCGCCTTGCAGTCTATATCGTCGGCGGTATAGTCGTCGCCTGGGCTATCATCTTCAACTTTGTCTTCATCTTCCTTTGCGACCCTATCTCGCAACAGTGGACCATCGAACGAGTTGGACACTGTATGGATCAAATGTTGCTGCTCAAGTGTCTGATCTTGTCAAACATGGCTACCGACCTCATGATCGTGGTAATCCCAATCCGCTGCGTGTGGCAGTTGCAAATGCGAAAGACGGAAAAGCTTGCTGTACTGGCATGTTTCGGCTTGGGTTTGGCCTGTGTGGTTATTAGCATCGCGCGTTTCATCCTCATATATACTATTGGTAAGTTATGCTTGCTTACACGTGTTGAAAAGCTGGGCAGAAAGACTGACAATGCACAGATCTTATCGGCAACCTCACAGGTACATCGGGAACGACCTTTATGCTCTGCACTGTCGAGCTCATGCTGGCCGGTCTCTGTATCAACATTCCCATGTTACGGCCGTTCTACCTTCAGTGGCGCCAAAAGTACAAGAGCGCATCAATGAGCAATACTGGAAGACTCAGTGCGATCAAGAGGTCGAACACTGGTGGTCTGGGATCGCAGCAAGCGAGGCCAGGTCACTACACTCAGTGGATGGAGTTGGTAAGTCTCACGAAGCAGACACAGGGCGATCGATGAAGCTAACTGAACACAGCACGACAAAGACCAAACGAACATCACTGTTACGGGCGACGACGCAAGTTCCGAACGAAAACTTACCTCAGAGCCACTACCGTTCGATGCCATCCAGGTCTCTAAAGACTTTACAATTACCAGAAATTGAGCAACTAGACACGCCAATGTCGCCATACACCGGATCGAGATAGGCACTTGAGTTCTGAGTGCGTCCCAACGAAGGGATGAAGTGCTCTCTGGCAGGGCTTGGGTCGATGCTCGGATGCGAGCCATCAATATCGCCCGTCTTAGGCTCGGAGTATATATCTCCTACCAAAGCCGTCCAATGCCGCAGAGCACAGTATTAGTTACCCGCTAGTGCACTGCAAGATAACTACAAAAATGTCTAGCAAAGGATCTCACGGATACACATGATGATACGAAGGCTAGCAATGGAAAAGATGGGAACCCTAAATATAAACACCCTCTATCATGGTAATAAGAGAGCAAACTCAAATGTTTATGTATAACTACGAAACGTGCCATTGATACCCCACACTCATCGCGGCAATGCACGATGGCAGATCGTGCATCCGAAGATTTCACCGGCAAGACCCGTCATGGTTCGCGAGCGAAGACCACACGATCGTCGCCACTTTACACGGCCCGCGATGATGCACTGTCAATCTCAAAATCCCTGAAGTCAACTTCTCCACACTCTCCCTCCGCAAATATACCGATAATCGGTCCTACGAAATCTTTGTCGCTCAGATCCATAGTGGATACCTTTCCTATCTCTTTGACTTCTTCGCTGTCTGTTCCATACGACAGGATGTACTCCATCTCCGAATACTCACATACAAGCTGAAGAGTTTGAAATGCTTTCTCTAGTTTGACGTGTTTCTGGTCATCGATACCTTTCGCTGTATTGCATACATGGAGCCTAATGCGGGGAGCGGAAGAGTCCAAAGACGTGGTATACGACAAGGAGATGAAGCGATGTTCGTCTTTGTAGACTGCAAGGCCTGCATTTAGCGGCTTGAAGCTAGGTGCTGGTGATAGAACGGTGACGCTGCTTCTTCCATTCAATCGACGCTGACGTTTACCGACGAACGATGGCGATACATCTGCAGATTCCAGACCGTTTGGCGAAGCTGTGAGTGTCACCTGTTGTTCCACGATCTTGTAGTGAGACAGCATAGGGTCGTGGATGTATAAGAAGTCAACGTCGGGCGCGGCAGTGAGTCTTCTCGATGGGATAGGTACGACATCCAGGTTTTCGATTTGCATTTTCGCGCGATCAAAGGCGAGCCAACCATCATCACTCCACGTCCCCTTCGTGAGGAACGTTTCGCGCCCAAGTCCATATAGATTAGGAGCGCCCATTCTGATTCCTAGACAAACACCCCACCATTGTCCCTGTTTGTCTTCGAACGCTTCGCAGTGGCCAGTACACTGCACGTATTCATCGGTACCCGCAGCGCTCAGTATCGGGTTCTTAGGCGATGCTTCCCACGGGCCCTCAAGACTATGACTTCGCGCCATTGTGACGCTATGCCCTTCGTGTGTTCCTCCCTCGGCAATCATCAAGTAACAGAACCCATTTCGAAAATATACATGCGGGCCTTCAGGATAGATGCCACCAGTACCATGCCAGAGTTCCCTTTCATCACTCAGTTTTTTACCCGTCTTGACATCGATTTCAAAAAGTATGATCTTGGTTTTCGGACCTGGAGATCTTGAACCGCAAAGATATGCTCTTCCGGTGTGAGGATCGAAGAAAAGACTAGGATCGATACCGTAGAATTCGAAGTAAACGGGGTCACTCCAATCGCTCGAGTAGATGTCTGTAGTGAAGACGATGAAGTTCTGAAAGGAACTCTCTTTGCCTTCTTCCTTATGATTCACCACATTTGTGCACACGATGTAGAAGGTGCCATCATGGTAACGGATCGTTGGTGCGTATAGGCCACCTGTAGCGTAGAGATGATCATTGTTACCAAGATCGTGAACCAAAGTGGAGGACTTGGAGAAACTGAGCTGCTCACGCCTGTTGATAGCGTTCCCTATTTGATGCCAGTGGATGAGATCCTGCGACGTATAGATTGGGAGACCAGGGAAGAGATGGAACGTCGAGTTGACAAGGAAGTATGTGCCATCGACGAGGACAAGCGAGGGGTCTGGAGCGAACCCTCCAAGGATGGGGTTGATAGTCTGATTGCTGTTCACCATGTTGATGGCTCTATGGTCCAAAATCTAAACCAGAATTACTACCCAGAAAGTTGAATCATAGACTACTCTTGGTGTATTGTGGTAGTCGCAGGGATAGTACCGTGAACATATTCCCGCCGGATAAATACGCATGCTGGTCGCGTGAAGGACTCTTGGCCCTGCTGCGCTATCTCTTTCGGTACCATCTTACGCTTTGGGTTATAGATGCATACCAAGATCCTTCCAAAACAGAAGCTCATCTACAAATGTAGTCGTAACTACACA